ATTTCCCTTCAGTGGTAAAATTCCATATGCCAATGCTAAAACAGGCACAGTAAAGACATTTACTGTAAATCTTTCTACGACCGACCAACGGACCACGAGTGCCCCTGTCGGTCAACCAATCACGCACCGCGGTATTTTGCGTCATCGCGCGTCACGATGCACGACGCCGTAGCCAATTACCTCCGGTACATGTCTGTACTGGGCACTTTGAATGGCTGCATCTGTAAGTCATTCTTTGAAAGTCATTCATTCAACTCACTAAAAACCTTAAACAAAAGGCTTAACAAAAATATTTTTGTTTTAAATACAGTTTATAAAGCTACTACATATAATATATTTTTAGCAATCAAAATCTAAAATAAAATAATCTGTTTTCTAATTACTATTTATACATAATCACTAATAACACTGTATAATGTATGTAATTAAAAAATATTGGTTAGTATTATTGTACAGCATGATCAGTGCAGGAAAGCACGAATGGGTTAATTAACATTTAATGTTTATTATTAAAATATGATTTTAATAATACTGAGTTGGATTCCATGTGCCACATGTGGTGTAGTGCAGTCCTGCATTAGATTATTTGAAAAGAAAATAAGGTGTTGGACAATTAAAATAAAAAAAATATATGATGCTTTTAAAAGTGGCTTCTTAAAGTGTTTTCAGGGTTAGAAAAAATGACATTGAAGACTGCATTTCTAAAACTTCAATGAAAGTAAAATGTGCACAGTAAAGTGTAAAACCTCCAATTTACAGTACTTCACAAAATAGACTAAATATGGTGCAGTGCCATATTCTGCAATTCAGAAAGAGGCAACAAAACTTCCGATTATGGTGAAGCGCCTCTATTATACTGTAAACCAGCAGGTTTTTGAATACATCTTTTTTAACACCAATTACTATTTACATGGGGGGAAAGACAGGTGACCAAATCTGAATGGCTGGATACTACTGTATTAAAGTAGTAAAAGTAGTAAAGAATTTAAAGTAAAGCTTAAATTCTGGTTTTAATTTGTTTTAATTTTCTATTTTGTAGTGGTAAATGGTTGTTAGGGACACATGTTGAAGAAAAAGATGAAGGAGAAATTGTGCAATGTGTAAAGCATGCAAAATGATTTTACATTTTTAATTAAATAAAGTAACACTAGAGGTAAAACAAAATAGTCCCCCAGTGTTATAATAAATGCAGGTAAGCAATAACTGTACATAGGGGTTATAAGTAAAAACATACTTTGGTATTCTAAGGTATCTCTGCGGTTAGACAGCATTACTTATTAATAGACAGAATTTATAAATACAGCTGTAGTGATATGAATGCTTTTTTAATTTACTGAAACAATTAGAAATTGGAACAGTAAATTGTGAGAGTGCTTTGACGACTTTAGAAATCAAACACAACACAGTCCAACAGTTAAAGTATCCTCCAAGAATTTTCCTTTTCTGTACTAATCAACCACCCGTGACTAAAACTTCTTACTGTATTATGAAACCACTGATTCACACAGCCATCTCCTTTACAGCTCCAAATACACTCTCCCTTTCTCACAGCTCCTCAGACCTTTTCATTACACAGTGATGACACAAACTTCCAAACCAAGCCCTTAAAATTTATTTTTATTGTCAGCAGATACCCTACAGTCTGAATTGGCATGGGCTCTCATCCAATCCAAAACCAGATTTCCCTGCTACTGTATATAGGAGACCCAAGTTCAATTCCTGGCCAATGTAGTGATTTCTTCATACATGTACTGTATGTCTCTTATTTGTAAAGTGTTTATAATGTGTTAAATGTATTATGTTATGTCTTTTACCTGCCTGAAAAGCAAATATCCTGTCAAGAACAAAAAGTAATAAATAACCAAGTATTATAGATACATATGCTTTATATACTTTGAAAGCAACAGTTGACATTATTAATAACATCAAGTATGAACTTATTGTAACAGAAGGACGTGTTACCTGGCATATGCATCATTCTGCATTTGCACTCTTTTATCACCTGTATCGACTCACACTTGAGCCTACATGCGCTGATGCTATAGGTATCGTACCCAGGAATCATATTTTCTGTAGCTGACCTGCAGTTTCCCCATGGCTGAGGTAAGTAAGTCAACTGAAAATAGAAAAATGGAAATAAAATAGAAAACCTGGTTGAAAACACTAATCAAAATACCATAGATTGTCAGCATCTAACACATATTTAATGTATTAATTACAAATACAAATGATTCCTACAGTTTAACATCAATATAGCAGAATACAGGTTTCCCTTGTCAACAACAGATTTGCTAACTGCAAAATTTGCTTATACATGGCTTTCAGCTTGCGGAAACATTTAAAAATTGTGTGGGTTCTTCACTAAGCACTTGACAGTATTGTCTTGCCTCCCTTATGCACTACATGTCACCACCTAGTTAGTCGAACATTTGTGTGTTTTTCACATTGGTATGAAAATGTGATCCAAACTTCACTTAAGAATGTTTCATATGTTTATCGCTTAGGATTCAAGGTAAATATTACACTTTACTATGAATTATATATGATTCATGTTATTGTATTTGTCATTTTCAAGGGAGAAATATCCGAGATATGTTCACCACTGATGAGTTGGTGGTATCCTATCCCCCTATCTCCAATATACTCAAGTATGTTGCCATCTGCGGAGCTTTTTCAGGAACATAATCCCTGGTTGGTAAAGGAACTTTTATGTTTTCAGTTTTTCTTAATTAAAACATCCAGAAAACCATCCAGTTTTCATTTTTTTCAAAATTCTTAATGTGCAATCTGATAATTGTACCAAATAAAGTAGGATTGAGAACAGAACTTTTAGACTCCTTTGTACATGACCACTAATCATCTAAAACTTTTTCAATGTAAAAAAGACGTTTTTCACAAATTTGTTATCTTTCTCATATTTTATTGTACAAATATAGTGTATAGATAATCTGTATCTCCTTCTACTACCTGGTGTATATACAGGCAAAAAAGAGAAAAGAATGCAAGCTAAAACGTTATTGAGGTACTGTCAAACACAAATCAGTTTAGTTTACAATGTCAATGATTTAGCTCTAAAAAGTCAGGACATCTATATTTGGATCAGTACTGATCTTATTTCACCTAACATTAGTTGTTTATTTAGGTTGGATAATAGAAAACACTTCTTTATTAAATGTGTGTGTGTCTGGAACATGGTTCCTAATCAGGTGGCAGAGGCACAATCTATCTTATTGTTATAAACAATAGTTAAAGGAAATTTAAGATTGACTTTGCTACTAAACTAACAAATGAGGAATGTGGGCTGAATGACGTCCTCTTGCTTGCAACCTTTCTCACATTCTTAAGTAGTTAGTGAAATACAACAAAAAGGTTAAGAGCTTGTGCTTAGATAAAGCAGTGAACATACCCTTTGCTCCTGACATGAAACAAATGTCTGAAATCCAGGAGAGACCCCAAATCCAAGCTGATGGATGTAAGGTGGTTCATCTTGGCTGTGTATTTGAACTCGTATCCCAGCTTCTAAAGATGTTTCATCTTCAAGACAAAACAGGAAGCATTCTTATTACCAAAAATGGAAATGGAATATTTGATTTTCATGATGAATACTGTATGTAGCTTCTCAAATCTGTAGGTATATACAAATCAGAATTTAACATTTATTTAAAAGTCCTTATTTAAAACTAAACTTCATTTTAGCTCATAGTATTTTTGATCCATACACTTTTTTTTACAGTTTTAAGCACTGATAACATATTGTTTTATCTGGAAATTGCAAAATACATATGAAATACTATAGTGCTCAAGAACTAAGATGACAGATTATATATAAGTTAGTCAACTTGACCTGCCTTGGGTTTTAAATAATCTTTTATATCCAATGTTATGTTTAACTACATTTACTTAAAGAGTAACAAAGTACCATAATTGATTGTTGTTTTGGTGATATGTCTTAATAAATTGGACTTAAGACTCAATGATAAAAAAATATTACTTGAGAGGGGTGTCAGTATTAGATTTTCAGTAATGATCAAATAATAACCATTCCTTAAGTATAAACATATCTTTTAAGCTATAAGAACTATAAGCATACAAGGCCCCGATCACAGAAACTAATAAACTGTCAAAAATATAGTTCAGGGTGCTTATTTGATCAGATTACCCTGTGCTGTGAATAGATCGTATCCTTTTTACAGTATATCTAGAAACCATAACATAAGATAACATAAGAGATATTCTCCCTTCTTAAGATAAGGAAGTGTGCAAAACACCTTAACAATATATAAATTGAAAGTATATCTGGTTGCAGGTAAAAAAGAAAAACGATGTACAATTCTTCATAACAATACAGTATATTTTACAGTTATCCAAAAAGGTGTCTTACTTGTCTCCTTCCAAATGGGCAAATATTCATCTTGCTGAATATCCAGCATTATCTCAAGTCCATTGCCCATACCCCCTTGCTTAGTTTTCTTAGTTGAATTCCTGAAAGCATTGAAAGTGTAACATTTCCCATATCTTGTGTAAACCTGCAAAACAAAAAAGTTTAGATTAAAGATTATTATTCTGAAAAAATATTAAATTTAATGTAAGTTTGATGTTAAAATACTAAAATATATATGGACATGTATACTGTATGTACAGTTCCTGGTTTTTGTTGTTCTAAAATCTGTTTCCTAACTTTTTTCATAAAGTGTTAATACAATACAGAGAAACTCCATTAACTATATAACCACTGTAAAGTACATTTTAAGGAGAACTCAATTAGATTCAGCTTTTAAAGCTGTCAGAGTTTCTGACAGATTTCAAGGCAGTTTGACCTGGGTTGTTTAAGATGAGAGAGTAAAGCTTCCTTATATTCTATCAGCATCAGTTTATAAAAAACTGAATTTGTTTTGTGAAGCACAAAATTCCCACTAACATGCACAAATATTATAATAATCATGAATAATACACTATCCATGTGCCACTCCAGCAGAGGCCACTGTAACACAGACAACACAGAAAGCACTGTTCACAGCAATCTTAGACAACAACAATGAAACATTAGTTATTCGGGGATGTCAAGTTTTACAAGATGAAAAACTGAAGACATAATCTAGTTGGAATATATAATGTATCATAGATTATCCTTTTTAAACTACATTGAGATCAATTAGTTTCTAAAATACAAGAGAAGAATTATATATTTAAGAATTCATTAGCTGCATTCATAAGAATGATAGAAATAATAAGTGAGAATTTGGACAAACTCTATGAACTTGAATTATAGAAGAAAACAAATAAGATTATATTTGCCTAAATGTACTTTATTAAAGTGGCCATTAATGTCTACATTATTCACATATACTTAATTAAATATATTTAATACTTTAGCACAGTGGTTCTCAAACTGTGGTACGTGTACCTGCAGTGGTACGCGGAGTGCCGACAGGTGGTATGCCAAATGACGCTGAAACTGTGTTGTGTGTGCCGGAAAATTGGGACTGGTTTTCATATTTTGTATTGACTGGATAAAATGTGTCGGAGTTTGTACAGACGGTGCTAGAGCAATAACAAGCCAACATAACGGTGTAGTTGCACGAATTAGGGAGGTTGCTCCAGAAATGAATGGATGCATTGCAACATCCACTGCGAGACCTTTGCCGTCAAGAAAATGCCTGACGATTTAAAATCTGTTAGACTCTGTTTTGAATTGTATCAAGGCTCGAAAAATTAATTCACATCTGCTTTGCTCGACTAAACAGGCTCACCCTTCTTACTGAAATGGTGCTTTTTAAATTATTTTTATTTGTTGTTGTTACTGTTTTTTTTCTGTAAAACACTTTGAGAAGCCACCTTTAAATCGCGGTCACCGAGGACCACTCCTGTCTCCCCAGATGACACTTTTTATTTTAAGATAAACACAAGATAAAGAAAATTTGTTTGAAACCGCTCCACAAATTTCTCACATGCACGTATTCTCAAATATCACAACAAAACCATAAAGTTTGTTTCCACAGACATGACACTATTATGCAATAAACCAATAAATTAATGAACTAGCAGAATCCCAATAAAAACACACAGCAACCCAGCAAGCACAGCATGTCAATATCATACATTTTTACCAACAAAACCGCAAAAGCAAAAACCAGCAAATATACAGTATATATATATCCCATGTTTTTACCTTATTCTGGAGCATGATATATATCCAAAATAACCCAGACTAGTTTATCTCAAGAGCTAGAGACTAGTAAACATTATTGATTACGTAGTAAATGTTTGAAGAACGAGCACCAGAAATAAGGCGATTTGATTGGTAAAAACCGCTGTCATTCATTGTATTTTCAGCCATTCAGAGCCCTTAGGGGGTGAGACTTCCTCTAGAAGCTTCAGGCTGCATTTTTAGCTGTCAATCATTGACTCAGAAGGGGTAATCAATCAGTTTTTTATCAGTTTCTTATCAGTGCTCCTTTTTTTCACACCAGAAGGCAACTCTGAGGTTTTTTTTCATTGCATAACAGCAGATAAAGGCTCTCTAGCAGTGTCTTAAGGTTTTTATAGCAATTGCAATGGTTTTTATTCGTATTATTTTCAAGATTTTTATGATTTGTTATTATAGGCGTGAAATTTCATTCCAGGTCCAGTCTTCACAAAACATGATGTAGAATTTTTTCTAATTGATCAATTTGTCCCAAATTTTTATCCAAGGTACTAGCCACCTAGAACAAGGTTTTCAAATCATTCCCATGTTTTTTTTGTTTTTGTTTTTATATGTTTGTCTGCTGAGTGGACACATTAAGAAATATAAGAAATTCACACTCAAAGCCAAGGGGGTTAGCTTCAATTTAAGACCTGAACCAGGCTCCTGCTATGTTCTGCTGCAGAGATTTAACAAATGTTTAAGGGGGAGGAAATTCCAGGCGGACCAATATGTCACTGGTAGTAAAAGGTTAAAGGCACTAAATCAAACAAAGTTTATTATTATAGTGATAGGGACAAGACTCAGGCTTGAACCCAAGACACCTGGATCACAAACCTCAACTTGTGCTCAAATGAGCATCTCTGCTAGTTGATGTATTCAGAAGCTACTGTACAGCATACAGTATGTTTTATGTGAACATACAATATTTACAGACGTTTAGGTAGTCAAAACAGTACAAGTAATATTAAAATATACTAGACAGCATGCATATATATACAGTATCTAAGAGTTTAACATAAAACTATAATAAAGTTGTGATTTTGGTTAATGCAGGAATGCCATTTTGGCCATATGGGAACAGTTTTGTCACCAGAACAACTTTAACAACAACAAAGAAATGTTGGTCAAGCATCCAGCCTAGAAGAAATTGTTTTTTTTTTTCACTTTTAAAATTACATTCTCATTAGAATAATGCAGATAATCTGCAGAACATTATAGACTATTTTCTGGCATATAATCACTAACTGTGGGTGTATAAAGGTTTACTGTAAACTGTAAGATGCAATTCTGAAATCCATTCTGATAAACTTGCCACATTTCAAGTAAGAATTTAGTAAAAATGCTTGTGAAATGTATGGTTTATGTAGGAATCCAATTTTACTCTATGTTTACTGTATTATTATTAACTGTATTATTCCTAAGATATTGACAATGTTTGGAGCTAAATCTTTATAATTTCGGATTACAGTTTTCATATACAGTTGATGTCCTGCTGTGGGTGGAAAACGTATCACAGCAACTTGTGAGATAACAGAAGCAGTTGTGGTTGATCATCAAATCTGACAAGTTGTTATTTAATTAGTGCAGCTGATACTAGTTTGAGTTGTGAGATCATGCTGTGAGGCACGAACTAGGGTGGGAGCGGCGAGGGCACACGCCCTAGAACCCAAATACATTACAATAACAAAAGGAAAGATAATGAAATGTGGGCCTATTCGAAGTCCCAAATGTGAGATAGGAAGTCGCAATTCTGAGATATAAAGTCACTGAGTTTTTAAGTTGTAATTCTAAGTTTTAAGTCGAATTCTGAGTTTTTAAGTCGCATTCTGAGATATAAAGTCGCAATTGTGAGATATAAAGTCGGAATTCTGAGATTTAAAATCGGAATTCTGAGATTTAAAGTCGGAATTCTGAGATACAAAGTCGCTAAGCGAGATACCATAGCGTGTTTTTTTTTACTCCCCGGCAGAAACGGGCTTCCATAGGAAAGAGTGCGCATGGTAGTGAACAAAGTTATCATGTGCAACAGAAAATGCATACATTAGCAGAGGCCAACAGGAAAATGCTGACAGAATACATAATTTAAAATATTTGCTGCCAATTAATTTATGGTTCTCCTGCTTAAAAATGAAAAAGTGCCGTTGCACAGTTCTGATCAGCATATTTTTACTGTGTTAAAGCTGAGGACAAATGTTTAGGTTTGCTTCAGCTAAAGTAAATTTAATTGATACAGACACATGTTCATTTTATACAATATACACATATTTTATACAAGGTAGAGAGGCAATGACATTTTTAATATTATGTTATGTTCTCTTGTTAAAATTCTTAAAATTGGATCAGTGAGATCACCTTTAAAATATTGTTTGACATTTTGGTCACCAACTTCCAAAATATATGTGTTGGAATCAATCCCGATAAGACCAACTAGATGCATGTTTCTGCTTAAAGGAATGTTGCTGACTGATAGTCTAAAAACATGAACAGAAATGCTACAATAAGACCTGATCCACATTTTCAAAATCCTCAAATTTAGAAAATCAACCCAGTAGTTTCTTAAGAAAAACATTGTGTATATGTGTAAAAACTACCATCTATGTTGTTGTAGCCAATACTTGGCTCCGTTCAAGAAGTCGCTGGATGAGATTCTTGGATCAAGTATCTTTAAGATATCACATGAACTAAATGGACTGAAAAGCCTTCCCTCACTGGTTAATTTTCTTACGTTTTTTTATATCAAGGGTCCCTTTTTTTAATATACCTTTTCGTACACTGCCCCCAACTGTGTAACAAAAAGGTCATATACATTAAGACTAAAGATGCTAAGATTTTGTTTTTTACACTTGTTTTATAATCGAGAGACTTTCTGTAAGTAAGAATTCCATTGTACCAGTACCGGTTACATATGGCAATAAAGTTCAAGTTCAAGTTCAAGTTCAAGTTCAATTGATAACAATAAATTATATTAATCTCATTAATTAATCTCAAACTCACAATTACACAATAATCGAGGCTCACATTCTGAGTAACTGTCACTAATTTCCTGCCTACTGTATTGTAAACATATTAATACTAATGAAATGATAAAATGTATTAAAAATAAATTTAATTTCTTTATTTGTTCCAGTTGATCATTAATAATCATTCAAATATTTAACCCTTTGGGTTAGACAGGTAAATGTACTCCTTCATCACTGGTTCCATATTATTTCTCTGTGTAATAGAAGCACAGAAGCAGTCAGTCAATTTGTGTTCTTATTCTCGAACTTGACATCTGTATTTATCTTTCTGTTTAAATCACTCTGACATGGAAAAATGCAGAAATACTTCTTGTTTCTC